AATGCAACATAGACATGGGTAAACTTGAAGTCTCCCTGCTAATCCCCCCATGCCTCCCTCTAGCAATTGGGTCTGGCCGAGGGCAGGTTGGGTGGTGGCATTGGCAAGGGTGGGTAAGTCGCTGGAAGCAGGATATGGGAAAACATACCCTGCATGTGAGAAGCTACCTTCCTCCTTGGTATAGCACAGAGGAGGGAGACTAGTGTTGACCAAAGCCTTTGGCCCATGAGACTCATGAACTGGTTGGGCAGAGCAGACCCTATCTGGGCACTAAGGCAGGGCTTCCTCAAAGTGTTAAAGCACTGAGAAACTGACGGCCCTGGAGAGGCCTCCTAGGTGGCCTTGTCTATCCAGTCACTGGTCCCCAATGGACCAGTCTCTTTTGGGAATTATCATGATCAGAGCTGTCTGGCACTAAATAATCCTGCTGGGTAGAGAGATGAGGGCAGCCACCTCCACTCAAGTCATATCTTCCTTTGAAGTCTCATCCAAAAGCAGTATCCCAAGACCTTGCAATGCAGACATGGTGTTTGTCTGGTCACAACCTAAGTATGGACTTGACATTGACACCTATATTCAGGGCATATTTGGTGTCAGCCAACAAGCACTTGGGAAGAGGCCTGGAGTTTGGCTGGCTCTCCCAGTGTCACCCTGCACTGCCATCACATGTCCCTAGGCAGGTCTTTCTTCCTCTTCAACCTGCAGCTGGGATTTGGCCAGGAACTACTTAGACCCAGAATGAGATTCTTGAGGAGTCTGCTTCTGCAGCCATGACCTCTAACTGCCCCACTTCTGGTAGTGAGGATTCTATCCCTGGGCTGGCCAGGACAGTGAAAAAACTTGCAGGCAGCAATGTCCAAACCATAAGCTGCTACTCAGTCCTAGACCCCACTCTGTGGTATGCAAACTTCCAAAGCCCAGAAAAGTATGCCTGGGCTATGATTGCTCCCATCAGAGGCAGCACCTCTTGCTGCCCTCTTGTCACTGAGGGCAGCTCTCAGCCCCTGGCTAAATGCTGAGCACCTAATTTTTCTCTTCCCAGATAGGCTGGTGGCCCATTGAGTTCTGGAGGCTGGTGATGGCTCTATTACCTGCTGTGGCTGCCACAGTCCACATTCAGTCAAGAGCTTGAGCTGCCCTAAAGCACAAGCAGAGACAGAGGAGGCAAGTGGTGGGTTTTCCCCTATTGTAAAGGCATTTGGTGAGTGTTTACTTCCTGCCAAACAGTCAGGTCAATTTCAGCCCCATCTTCCTAGGGAAACTTTGGTGAAAGGACAGGTTGGAATTTGGGCACTTCTCTGCTGGAATGCTGTGCTTGGTGTGAGGAAGGCCTTCCTCACCCTATTTCACTCTCCAGCTCCATAACTGATACATTTCTTCATGATGCAAAGTCAGCCTAGAGAGCTGGTCTGGGTCCCTTGAGTGGTAGTGTTTAGTGCCATGCAAACTTATGTGATGCTTCTAGGAGTACAGCTACTACCAGCCAAGCCTGATTTGGGGGGAGGGGCACTGGACCAACCCCAATCTGAGAAATGGTGACAAAGACCAGTACAAACATATCTCCTGGCAAAGGAGCAATTTGTGCACAAAGTCACCTTTGTGACTGGAGGGGGGAAGGCAATGGCATCTATTCCCAAGCCAAATTACCATCTCAGGAGCCCTGTTGACATCTTCACTTAACAGGCAAGGAAATGGGTAGGGGTAAGTGCAAGAACAGGAGTGGCCATGGGAGGAGCAAGGATCATAATTTGGGTCAACACATCCAGACAAAATATGCTCCATATGCTATTTCCAATAAAGAAATCTAAAAGGAACCCTCTCATACTGGTGATTGAGAGGCTGAGCCTGGTAAGATTAGCCTGCTGCAATGTCTTCCTGGCAGCGACTTTTCCCCACCAGTATTTCTAAGCTAGTTTAACATTAGAATTATGTGGATGCAGGAGAAAAGAGGGTGTCATTCATTCCATAAAAGGCTGCAACTGCCATGTAAATGAGCATCCTGAAGCTTGGCAGAGTGAGGGCAGATCAGTCTTTCCTATCAAGAAGCCTGGTCCTTTGATGATGCTAAGGACTTAGATAATTGGAAAATGAAAATTCTTGAGTCCAGAACAACAGCCTAGATGTCTTTGTTATCCTCTCTTGAGAGTGTTGTCTGGAGCCTCTTTACAGCATATAAATGAATGGGTGGGCAAGGCAGACGGAACTTTTTGTGTTTTGTGGGGGAAGCAATTTTCCCTTCTAAGAAGCTGGGTTGCCTCGAGCTCTGCAAAATCTGAAATCCTCTTTCCCACTGGCTGGGACAAATGGACCTCCATTTCCTATCCTCCCCCTGGAACCTGCAAAAACCCTAACTCCTATAGCCAAGCCTAATTTAGGCTGCTTCTCTTCTCATATCTCAATTAAAAGAATGTATTCTTTGTGATGAAATTATGAAAATTTCCTTTGGAGGAAAAAAAAAGAACCAAAATTTAAAAGCACCTGCAACTTTGGAAGTCACAAGCTTAAGAGAGGAAAAAGAAAAAAATCCTATCATTCCAGAGCTCAAAACTTACAGCAGTGTCTATAATAGAAGCCCTATTTTGTCTTCTGTTTGCAACTGGATTAATTTGATCACTCCATTAAGGGGATTAGCATTCTTTTCTTCATCCCAAGCTATGGCAGGCCAGGTTTAAAGGCCCCCATTTGGTTATGATGCCAAAGTCCACAGCAGTAAGCAGTGAAATATATGCTACATGATCCTTTCTAAGGACAGCTAGCTGGGACAAATAGATTATAGTCATTTGATATAATAGTGGCAGCTATGCCAAGACAGGATGGAGTGGGGGTGGGGAGGGTCTGTACCATAATTTCACATTGCTAACAGCAAACAAGCCCCCTGTCCCCACATAGAAGGCAGTGCAAACCTGGTTGTTCATCATTCACTGGGTAGTGGGGTGGCTGGGGGCACTAAGGGTTCAGCCTCTGTCAAGGATGCATGCTATATATAAATTCACTAACTTGGCAACTGGAATAGGCACAAAATTACAGCATCCCAAACCTTACATGGGTCACAAGAAGAAACCCTGAAAGCAAAAATCGGAGTACAGCAGCAGCACCCTCCTGGGGCAGATATACTGAGCTGAATGTGGCCACAGATGGCAGAAGAGGGAAGTGGGAAAATGAAGGTGAAAACTCATAGGAGCTTTTCTTGGCCAAAAGGATTTTCAACCCCCACCCTCAAACCCCTCTGCCCAATCCCTGATCCCCATTCCCATGCTCAGGCCCCATGCGCCCACTCCAGAATTGATGATGACTGCTCAGCTAGGTTTCCATTCTGGTGGAGAGGCACAATGCTCAGCTTTCTCCTTTGACAGATCAAGGCTGGGAGCCCCATAGTGAATGGGCTGAGGATGCAGAGGTTCAGGCTGGATCCTGGGCAGCTGAGGGATGCCATGGGTAATGCCCACAGGCTTGACCTGGGGTAGAGGGCTGGAACTGAAGCCTCCAGAACTGGAGGAGTAACTGGGCTCATCAGCAGACAGAAGCTTATCTCGAGGCCTGGCCCTTACACTTTGGGAGGCCTGTGGCTGGAGCTTATAACAAGGGCCCATGGGAAGGGGTAGGTGCGAAGGCCGAGCTAGTTGAGGCCCAGATTCCCCGGTTGCCCTTGACTCTGGCCCTGATACTGACAGCAATACTGACATAGCCACAGGAGGTATGCAACAGGCTGCCTGCCTATATGGAGACTGGCTAGAAGGCCCATCCAACTGGCTGGTACTTATCCAGGCAGGGGCCGTCTCCACTGGGAGAGGACAGGGAGCCCAGGCAGGCCAGTCATAGGCCCCGGGAGGTTCAGTATAGAGGGACAAGGGACTGTCTCTGCCCCATTCTTCCTCGTCTTCTTCATCTGAATCTTCCTGTTGAGCCTGAAGCTCATCGGGGTCCATGTAGCCCTGGGCAAGGTGGGAATTGGATAGTTCTTGCTCCAGGGTCTCTGCAGTATCAAGGGAGCGACTCCTCCTGTTGAGGGCCATGGCAGCAGGTGGGGGTCGTGGGTGCATGCCAGGAAGTCCCAAGTATCTAGGGAGACTACTCACACCCCAGGGCAGACCTTGGTAGAATCGGCTGCGGTAGTTGTTAAAGGCATGTTTCTGGTAGTAGCCCAGTTCAAAAGCTTCCAAAGAGGCTGCAAGGTCCTCATCATTGTGTAATTCAGGATTCTCTTCACATTTGCCTTCCCCGTCCCGTTCTACATCAGCAATGTCAAAGGTCACCATGGGGGGCAGTTCAGGGAGGTTTTGAGTAAAGGATGAGTCAGAATCAGAGCTACAGGACATGCTGGAAAAGAGGTTCCCATTGCTGGTGAACTCCACAAGGGCTTGTGAGAAACTCACGGTGGCATTCCCTTCCTTCTCAACCTCCTCTTCCTCTGGCTCTTCAGGGGGTGAATAAGTAGGGTAGGCCCTCCTGGGAGATCCTCCAAAATTTGCTTCTTGCATGTCTGGCTCAAACATAGCATCACTCTGGAAGAGCTGCATCAGGCAGGTACTTTGATCTTTCTTGGAGCAGGTTCCCTCAAAACGCTTCTCCAGAGGACGGAAGTCCCTCCAGTCTGGCTCGCTGCTTGCAGTGGTAGGGAAAGCTGAAGTGGTTCCTCGGTGTGAAGTCTGAGAAGCCCCTGATGCCCCTACCACCAGGCCCATCACTGATGGGCCTAAAGGTCTCATCTGATACTCCATAATGGGCTTCTCTTGCCGTACCTGGAGCTGTCTGACTTGGGCCTCTCGATCACGAGCCTTTCGGGCCTGGGCCTCCCTAGCACAGGCCTCTCGGGCACAAGCCTCCCTGGCATAGGACTCTCGGGCTCGGGCCACTCTCACATGAGCTTCCTGGGTATGGGCTTCTCGGGCATGAGCCTCCCTTGCATGAGTTTCTTGGGTATAGGCCTCCCTGGTGTGTGCCTCCCGGGCCTCTTGGGCTTCGAGCTGCTCCCGCCGAAGTTCCCAATACAACAACTGCTTCTGTATGGTCACTAGCCGTTCTTCTTCTGTCTCCATTGTCCCAGGTGGCCGAGAGGAAGAAAAGGGCTCAATGTTCAAGAAGGGGTCAAATATCTCAGAGCTGCGACCATGGAGGTCATAAAGGCAGTCATCCCCAGGTGGGGAGTTCTCAAGACTATCATCTGGCTCATAGAATTCATAGAGGGCATCTCCACTGTAGCTGTCTCGGGGCAGGCAATCCCTGCGGATAAGCCCCAGAGCCTCCCCTGAGTCATCCTCAAATCCAGGTGTGGTTGAATCATAATATCCCTCATCACTATTGGGGGCAGATTCTTGCTGGTCACTCTGAGGAGTCAAAAGGTCTCCAGGAGCTAGGCAAGGATAAGACCGAACTGGGTCAAACAGCATGTAGCCCTGGTGGCCTGGTGAAATGGTGGGATGGTAGCCCAGATTCATATTGGGTCTTGGGTACATCTGAGCACTTGCCCACAGATATTCTAAGTCATCATCTTCCGCTTTGACTTCTTCTTCCTCCTCCTCTAATTCAACATCCTCTTCCTCCTCTTCTTCCTCATCATCATCATCTGGCAAGGCCATCTCCTCCCCACCTCCTTGATAGGTAACCAGGCAAGAACTTCGCTTGGTCCCATCTCGGTTGGCCCTCTGGCCTCCAGAGGCCATGCTGTCTGTCATACTATCCATGTCCTGCTCTGCTATGATGTCACCACAACCTGTCAGTGAGTCAAAACTTTTAAGGGATGTGACATCTCCAAAGAAGAGGCTCAGTTGGTCCCCAACAGGGCCATTGAGTAGATTTATATCCCCTACCAGCACCTTCTCCCCTGTTTCTGAGCTCTGAGGCTCTTCTGGGACACTTACTTCAGGGGCAGGCTTGGACTCCAAGAGTTCTGAGGTACAGACCCCCATGGGTTGCTCTGTATTTTTACAGGTTGTCTTCTCAGTGGCTGCTGGAGAAAGCTCTGATGCTGAATAAACTTTTGGTCCAGGGGCATCTTGGGGTTTGGAATTTTCCTTTCTTGGGTCTTGAAGGGTTTCCTCAGCATGGGACAGAAGGGCTGAGCTCACGTTCTCATGAGGCCTGGCTCTGGCCTCCTCAGGTCCCTTGGCTCCTGGCTCACTTTGCTCAGCACCAGAGACCTTATTCTTCCGGTGACGGCGAATACTGCTGAAAAAACCTTTCAGGCCTTTCTTTGGCTTGGTCACAGAGGAAACCTTCTCAACCCCAGCTTTCTCTATGGCTCCAGCCACAGACATCTTGCATTTGGAACCTGTCTCCAAAGCCCCATGGGCACTCTGAGAACTGGGAAGTTGGCAGGGTGACTCAGGCAAAGGTAAGGAGAGGCCAGTTCCTTCGCTGACAATGTCTTCTTGGCTACGGGCTGCTTCACTCAAGCCATCATGGGTCCTGCTCTTGCTAATACCCTTCTTGGAGCTGCTTTTCCCAGAACCTTTGCTTCGTCCCCCTCCAAAGAAACTAGGCAGGGTACAGATGCCCTTCTTGCCACCAAAGAGTTTCATGGCAGTTTTCTTCAGCCTACCTGGGCCAGATGAGGGTGGCTCTAACCCTGGCCCTTCTGTTGTCTCAGCTGCCTTGTTCTTGGCTCCTTTCTCTGACCCTTGGTTCTGGGTATCCACAGAGGCTGCTGCTCCCTTGGCCTGAGTAGCTTCATCTTTTCGGGTCTCCATGGTGATGGGGACAACTCAGGTATGTTCAGCTGAAAATGCAGCCTTCTGGCTTCTGGGCACTATTATAACATCATCAGTCAGGAAGCATCATAGTTGGGCCTGGAAGAGCTGAGAAAGATAAAAACAGAGACACAGTATTGGTGAGCAAGCATCCAGGCAGAGTTTGTTTTCACAGGTGTCTGTGGTTTCAGACTTGAGTGGAACCAGAAAGAAAGAGAAAATGCAGGGAAAAACTTAATGCACTCCATGTGCTTGGCTTGCTGCCCCAACCTCCTCTGGGCCTCAAGACAGTAAAGCCCTGAAGTGAGCAACAGGCAGTCATCACCCCTACCCTCTTTCACTGAGCAGGGGGAACTGCAGATGTGAGAAAGGCCCAGTGGTGCTAGTGGATGTGGGAGGAGTTATCAAAGGGGGTATGTTAGGGAGAGGCAGAAAAGGCAAGAGGTAGGTCAGCTCTGATGACATAGAATTTTTGAAAAGCATCTGGCAAAAATAGCTCATTGAGTCCTCACTGAGCTCTGCGCGGTCCAGGCATCGAGTTCACATTAGCCCAGACTCTCACTGACATTTTTCCTGGGGCAGGAAAGACAAGTATACCTGAAGTTTCACCTTGTCTTCGCAGGCTCCCTAAACTGCTGGCAGGACCATGCTCCAGGACCTTCAGAAACCCAGAGTAGGAGCCTCACAGACTCACATTCCAGAACTGCAATCCAGGATCTGCTAAGAATGCATGGTGGCCTTGGAACAAGGAATTCTCTGGGCTTCAGTATCCTTTTCCCAAGAAGCCTAGCAATACCGCTCCCATAGTGGTTATCTGTGGGGTAGGTCTAGGTCAGATTCTATTGACTGTCCTGCTGGGAAGAGATTTTAATATGGCCCTTAGTCACTGGAACCCCAAATTCTACTTTAGAACCATGAGGCAGACTCTTTCTTCTCCACTCTTCCCATTATTTTGGCCCCCACGTAGCTCCTCCATGCATAAAGGGAACTCCTTGAAGGCACAACTCCATATGAGTCATGTTCCTGGCCTGGGAATCAGGCTCTCAACATGTATTTAAATAAGTAAACCTAGTGCAAGGCACAACTTTCTGGTCTAGGCTCACAATCCTCCAAACGTCCAAATTCTAGAGATGGAATAAAAAGAAGGGGAAAAACCTACCACCTACCCCTAGCTACAACACACGTTGCCCCTCCAGGACTGATGTATTCACTCCAGTCACTACAGCTGGCCAGTGGCTGGATCAGTGAGCAGTCTGCTAAAACCCAGTAACCCTTCCCTGAAAAGTCCCTCACCACTATGTCCCTCCTCTGTAAGTAGCCGTTAGCAGATAGGGAGCCAGGATAAGGGAAGAGAGGTAGAACAGCTGCTGGAAGCCAGAGAGAGAGGTAAGCACCACTTGAAGTAGAAGCAGCTGTCTAGCACATCATCCCTGTGATTGGTTGCTACCATAATAAGAGTCATGCATTCACCTCCAGTGGGAGACAATGGACCAGCACTGGGGTTGGAGAGAGCCTCTGACCTCATTAGAGGACCCCTCCTGGAGCCTTGATCCTGTTTGGCAAACACTAATTTTGTACCTTGAGCCTTGCTTGGCTTGATTTGAATCATCAGTGTGATCAGGCTTCCATCAGGGGCACTCTGCAGAACTGAATACTAAACTTGGAGCAAGATAATGTCTGGCTATGCAGAAAATAAAAGAGAAAAAAATTCATCTGATACCCTCTCTGCAGAAATTTGTATTGCCATCTGCTTAGGTTAGGGTATTTTTCCTGTGTGACATATTTTTACGTGACATTGTTCCAGTTTAATCCTGCAACTGAAAGCCCCAGTAGACAGTGCAGCCCCCATCCTGCAATACACAATCATACATACACAATGACCCAAGAGACCTGACCCCAGGGTCTGATGGGTGTAGGGGCCCTATCATATATTTGACCCCCCTACTTTCCAAAGCAAAACCATCTGTTTTTACCTCAGCCCTGAAATTACTGTCATTATGGTGTGGGCATGAGAGATGGGGTGGCAATAGTGCAGTTGTTTGTGAAACTGTATTCCCCTTTGTGGAATTCATGAAACAAACCTCTACTAACATTTGGTAAGTGATAGACATTGGGCACAGTAATGCAAGGCAAGACAAGAAGGGGGAACCCCTAGCCCTTGCTTTTGGGAAATTCCTATGCTAACTGGTAGAGAAATCTATATGTAACAATCTGAAAGCACAGCATGATACAGGGCTTAAGGAAAAGCCCCTATTATTTCTTAAGCTTTGGTGGAAGGTTATAATTCTTCATACCTTGTTATCATATCCCAGGATAAATTTGAAAGGCAAAAAGACAGACCCTGGGCTCAGAAAAGCTACACTGAAGAGAAGACATTCAATCTGAGTAGAAATGGCAGTGATTTAGGGGGAGATATGGGTGAGACTAGTAAGTTTGAATTGGCATCAAGGAAGACCACAGGCCAAGTGAAAAATAGTATGGGCCTAGATTTCCTTGTGAATCAAAGGCTGAATTGTCCTGCTGGGTTTAGGGCCATGGGGCAGTCCCTTTGACCTTCTGCTGCCCTTATTGCTGTGCTCCATTGGGGTAGAGGCCAGCCCACTGTTCTCTATATTGTCCTCTTCCCTGCCACAGGCATCTGTAGTATGTTTTGAAAGTAACCATGGGCCACAGACTGGTGTCCAGGCAATGCTAGGGGATCCTGAATAGGCCAAGGCAACCTCTGTGAAGTGGAGATCAAACCAGCTCTCCTATCTATTCCCCCTCATCTACCCAGTCCACTGCAGTGGTGTGGGGGTTAAATGGGATAATGGACACCAAAAGCACTTTGTAAACTGTAAAGTACAGTGCAAATGAGAAAGACTGGCATATTTGTTATTATTACCACCTTCCTGGTCAGGTCCCAGTTAGTTAGGAAGTAGCAGACCATGTGTAAAAGGCCACTCCTTTGGGAGAGTCATTTACTGTAGGGAGCCTGAGGGACCACCTGTCTTGGCCCTCACTGAGGAGGAGCCAGGTGTGAGGGGATTTTAAAGACGTGTCTGGATTTATGCAAAGTCCTCTCCTAAGGGCAGTTTTAAAAACCCTGTGATTGTGTAGTGGGAATGAGTGAACTAGGCAGGATTGTGTCCTGGGACTGAGATTCTCACCCTCTAGCTTCAGGCTTTCTTCCTAAGAGGCCCAAGGTTGTCTTTGCTGGCAAGAGCCAGCCTTGAAATTGTGCTATCTCTCATTTCCCTGCCGAGTTCTTCTCAGGGCCATGTACTCCCCATAGCCACTTACAATGTCTCTGTCTGCTTTCCTCCAAGACAGTAAGACAGTAGGTGGCAGTAATGACTCATAGCTGGTAGCCCCCTAACCCAGCCCCACCTATCCCCTTTGGCTCCTTGCTACTTTCCTTGCTACTCCTCCAGGTCCTAGTGCTATCCCTCAATGGGCTATGCTGTCTTTACTTAGGGCCATAGAGTTCAATGTCCAGGGGAGTGAAGTGGGACAGAAGGCAAAGGGGACAGCAAGAGACAGATTTTGCAGATTCCCCAGGCTGGGACTGACTCCCATCTTGGTTCCTGCCAAGAAAGTGGTCCTGCCAAACACAGGGCCTGTAACGCTTAGGTTTTTCAACCTGTGCGGCTGTCTAAATTTCAGGTAGACTGTTGGGTTAAGGGAACCCTCTAAGGCTAGTTTGTGGCCCCAGACAAGAGCTATTTGCTGCAGCTGCTGCTGTCATGGCAGGGTGTGGGCTGTGCCCATCCCTGCTCCCAGGGCCAGCTTCAGTCCATTCTGGGACCAGTAGAAGGCTGGCTACTTGCACAGAGCTTCTTCCTTCCCCCTCCTCTCAAAACACAGGCAGGACACCAACCACAAATCTGCCTCAGGGACCCTTCTTGGTGAGGAGGAAATAGCTGCAGCCTGAGCCTTGCACTTTCCAGCCCAGCTTCCTGGGGCCAGCTCAGCCAACTTAGAGAAGGCTGGGTTCAAGGAAGAAATATGTGGATTTATGCAGTAGCTCCAGAAGCATGGCCTCAATAAGCTACCATTCCTCAAAACTCCTCCAAGCAGTTTTCCTGGGGGCAAGCCCACACTGGGCCCACCCTATCATTGTGCATGGAGATGGGCTGAGGAAGGAATGGAGAGGAATGAGGAAGGAATGGAGCCCCACCACTGCCCTCAACCCCAGAAACTCAGCCAGTTCTGCACTGTAATCAGCCATGCCCGACCTGGGAGAAATCAGCAGGTTCTTTTAGTTTCCTCAACTGAAAAATGAAGCTATTGAGATGTCTACCTCTTAAAGCTATTGTAAAGAACAAAACCAATGTATATTAAGTATCAAATACAATGCATTATATAGCAGAGGTTAAAAAACATAGCAATGAATTTTTAAAATATTTATTCAAATTATAATTGGACAAATTGTAGCATCAAAACTACCTCAGGCAGGGTTGAGTAGGGTGCTTCCCAAGGCTCTGTGGATAAGTCACCAAACCACCTTGGACCTCAGTTTCCCCAAATGGTAAATGAGGGCAACCTTATAGGAGGCTTTAGTTTCTCTTTTAGCCGAACTTTAATATTCAGGGACCAAAAAGTAGCCTCCAGTCAGCTACTGGCTAACAACTCTGGATTATCTGGGAATTTGACTAGCCCAGGCCAGAAAGGTCAACAATTCAAACTCAGCTAAAGTACCAATATCAAAGGAAATGCAAATTAACAGATATCCTGCACCCAACTCAGGGTACTTACCAGTTTATAAAGTGCTCCCCACTCCCTCACCCACTATTTGCCCTTCTCAGAAATTCCCCTGATGGGGGATGGTAACTCCTTGTCACAGAGAAAGAAACTGCCTAGGCTTGGAAAAAGATTTGCCTAAGGTCATACAGTGGGATAGTGACAGAGCCACACCAGCTCCCAGGCCCCTTGAGTTCCATCCATGACATTCTGTGCTGGCCCCCAATCAAATGAGAAAGACTGAGAGCAAGGATTGTGCAGGAGCACGTCACACAAGAGCCATCATTTCCTCCTCCCCTCTCATTCCTGTCCCAGCCCAGCTGAACCTTTTCTCAGAAACATTTCCAGTTGTCACTGGTTGCCACTGTTTTGGCCCCATCTAGCAC